ATCAACATGTGATATTTTTCACATGATAAAAATTTATGATTTTAATTGGCTGAACCAATATGCATGATCGGGATCATCATTTCCTTATTTGGGACGTTCTGCCCTGTAGCTTAAAATTTATGCGTGTATGAAATAAATTTACGTAAGGCCACACAAATTTAATATATCAGATATTGGTTTTCATAACGATAACAAACAGACCCGGCTTGTTTTTAAAAAATTTCATATATAAAAATTTATAAAAAAAATTTAAAATATCCACCCGGTTATGAAAACCAATTAATTAATTTTCATGACCTAATTATATAGTTAAGTGATCTTGTGATTTTGTTATTCTTGTGCGCAGATTAAAATTTAAAAAGCGACTACGTAACTGATTTTGGTGCGGTGGAGAGATGAAGTGGAAACGGAATCTTTATATAAACCCAGCATTTTGGGTTGTATACCATAATTTAACTCGAATACATGTATAACTACCTAAAACCTAACTTAACACCCTAACCCTAAAGTTAATCGAGAAAATTATTAAGAAATATGAGTTGTCCCGCTTTAGACGTCCTCCATAAAAGGTAACTGTATAAGTCTAAATCAAAATGATTAATAATACATTTATTAATGGTGTCGCAAGAGATTCGGTAACGCTTTTACGTCATTAGATTTCTCACGGTCTTGAATACAATTGGATGAGAATTGCATCTATCGCAGAATGATAAGAATATATAAGCTGATCTGCTATTCTATCCGCTAATTATCAAAATGTCCACCACATCTACCACACCGCAGCTTGCAACAACCTCTTTAACCTCACAAGATAGGTCACAAGAGAGGTCACAAGAGAGATCACAGTCTGGTCAAGGCGGATCAGTAAAAGTTCGCTCTTCCAGTTTTATAATACGCACATTATTTGCAGGTGGCGTTGCGGGCTGTGTGGTATGACTTCGTATCTAGTTACATCTACTTTAGCAAATTTGTTAACTTGGCACAAATACTTCAGGCTAAAACAGCGATCGCGCCGTTAGACAGAGTGAAAATCTTGTTTCAATCAAGTAACCCACAGTTCCAAAAATATGCAGGTAGAATTTGTTTTTGCAAGAATTCTCCAGTATAGAACAATTTTGGTGTGTAAAATGGAGCGTAGAATTACCGCATCCATTAGCTTATGTCAAATTACTATAACGGCAAAATTATTTTCTTTAATAGGGTCATGGGTGGGTCTGCTTCAAGCCACCCGAAAAATATACAGTGACTCAGGACCGAAAGGCTTATTTCAAGGACATTCAGCAACACTTATCCGAATCTTTCCATACGCTGCAATAAAATTTGCCGCTTTTGAACAATTTCGTCACGTAAGTAATATTATACGTCCATAGTCTAAATATAATTTTCAATCAGTTGTATTTTTCGTTCAATTGTATTGATTGAATAACTTGAACTTTACTAGCTTTTGATGCCAACGAGGCAACATGAAACACGTTTTAAGAATTTTGTGGCTGGCTCTTTGGCTGGTAATATATTATGAACCACACTAGCGTCACAAACCTAAAAAATTTCATCATTTGGTCAAGTGATCAGAAAAATGCGAATTTAATGCGAATTTTTAAGTTGGTGACGCTAGGATCCTAGTATATGATTTAAATACTTCAGTTGATTTATTTATTTATTTATTTTATTTTTTTTAAATCAAGGCGTTACATCTGTACTCTGCACTTATCCGCTAGAACTCGTGCGTGTTCGACTAGCTTTTGAAGTTCGTAAGGATTCGCGTGTTAGCATTAGATCAATATGTAAACAAATATATCATGAAAACGCTTCATCACATCGACGCTTTCTTCATTTTTCGATCATTAATTTTTATCGTGGATTAACTCCTACTATAATGGGCATGATTCCATATGCTGGTGTCTCTTTCTGGACACATTATACATTATCGGAATTTTGTAGAACAACATTAGTGAATATTACAACAGATCCGTCTTTAATTGCTGATAAAAAAGATTTTCTAGACAAAGAAAGGAGGGTTCCATTAAAAACTTGGGCAGAATTGACTGTTGGGGGACTGTCTGGCGCTATATCTCAAACAGTATCGTACCCACTCGAAGTAATTCGACGTAGAATGCAGGTATATGGTGCGATAAACCCTTCGAGTTTTGTTGGTATTCAACAAACAACGCGAGAAATTTGGGCCACAAGTGGATTAAAAGGCTTTTTTGTGGGGTTAAGCATTGGATATTTGAAAATAATACCTATGATTGCTGTTTCTTTCACTGTTTATCACCGAATGAAACTATATCTGGACATATATTCATGAAACAATCACCTGGTTATTAATTACTATTGATATTAAATTTATAGACTAACAATCACTGATTTTACAATAGTGATTTAATAATATTCCATTCTCTAAATTCTATTCTTCTGAAACCACGTTACAAGTTCTTCAAATAATGTCCAACCGATTGCATTTTGCATCGTTTTTCTTCCAAGTCGAAGGGTAAGGCCATCAAAAAATCTTAGAAAACCTTCTTCCTTAAAACGTTAAAGAATTATTTATGAGATACTTATAAATTGTTGACAGATTCAAATAAAGTGTAAATACCTTTAAAACTTTTCTTGCCCCACGAAACATATTGGAATACTCATAAGGTCTTAACTGGATTCGCGTCTTAAGCATATCAAAAGGATGTGTTATAAAAGCTGATAAGGATCCCGAAAATGTACCTTTAAATAAAAAATGTGTATAATGAGTGACTAAAATAAATATTAAACATGAATAAACATTACATCAATTAATTACCTGCAATCATATGGATAACTGTTGGTGATAATGAGGGTGAATAACCTATAAATAAATAGATAATATAAATATATTTTTAATGATATTACTATATTACTATATGCGTCTACCAAACTAAATATTTCCAAAATTCAAAGCATAATAAAATTGTTCTAAAACCGATCACAAGAATTTTGCATGCAAGCATAGTTATTCTATTATGATTTAATTACCCTGTAATGCAAGTTTGAAACGTTCATAAAACAAGACATTTAAGCCTGCGGTAGGCGCGTCCTTGATGACAGTGGCACCATATCCATAAAACAGGCCTAAGATAAATATATACCAAAATCCTGTTCGTAAATTATGATATTCATAAAATCAAAAATTCCTGACAATTATTTTTGGTAAATACCCTTGACACCATCAGTCTTAACTATAGATGACAAGGCGCCCCAGATACTTTTGTAGTTATATAAATTGCTCTATAATTCGGAGGAACGATGAATGTTTGTAAATGAATATATTTAATCAGTTGTATTCTAATAATTGCCTAGGATGATGCTGAAGTTGAATTAAATTAGAGAATTAACCGATAAAGATTTGTTAATTCAGAATCATCAGCATCATTCAGAATTAAACAATAATTACATACTTACCTCATACCTGATTTTAACAACGGTAACGGGCATCATCACGAATCCAACAGATCCCCTAGCTACCATGCCAGCAATTAAATTTTCTTTATCTGATAATACCGGTAAAGAAGAACCAGTGGCTGATCTTTGTGGCACAGAACTAATTCGGTGCCTTAATGAAAAAAGAAGACGAATCTGCGACAGAGAGAAATAGTATAGTGCGGTACCGGGAACATTACTAGACAAAGATAAAATTTAGATCATAACTCAAATTAAAAACCATCAAAACAATAGAAAGTAAATTACCGCATAATTGTTGGAATAGTGCCTCGCCATAACCCAAAGATCGATTCATTAGCAATGATTTCTTTGACAGTGTAAATAATTGTGCTATAAACAATAGCTCATTGAGAACTATTCATTCCTATCATCAAATAACAAGGGATTAAGCCGCGACACTGATAAACTATCTTAATGAACCTCGCGTAAAATAGTTGCATCCGTGTCATTCTTACCTATTCAATGGCATTACTTTCTGACCTCCTCTTAAGGGTCTAGTTTGTAGTTGTCTTTCTTGCTGTAAACGCGTTTTAACAAGATCAAAGGGCTGCAGAAGAAGGCAAGAAATTAAACCGGCAGTTGCACCCGCCATTAGGTACGCTCCAGGATCGTTTTTTTGCAAAGAGCCCATTTTATTCCACTAATACTGTAATATTGCAATCCTATGTACAGTACAGTACGTATATACAATACGACAACTGATCGCCATCTATAATTGTCATAATTGTTTATAATCAAATTTATCAAATTTTGTAATTCGCAACTTTGACTTCGGGAGCGAAATTGTGATATGAATACATTTAAAAATTTGAAATCGCGATATGAATACATTTAAAATTATAAACTTTACAAATCAATTGTCTTCATTATTAAAGATGATGTTACTATTTCCAGTAATCTGCA